TTGCCCTTTCCAGAAGAGCAATAATATGGGTTGAGTCATTCACTGCGTCAGTTCTTTTGCACATTGCCTCCAGTTCATTTCAGGCTTTAATTTCCTTTTAAAATGTGTGTTACTACCAACCACAAAGCCAGCTCTCTAAACACATGGTTGGTGTGGCCTTTTGGACAACACTGTTTCTTCAACAGCAAATAAAGCTAATTGTTTCTCTTTTCCTGATGAGCCTATGAAGGTCTGACAATTAATTAAGTTCACGAACTCATCCTCGGAAAAATGCTATTGCCTCACTGCTGAATATCACTATGGTCATCTTCGAAGCACTTCCCTTGGGAAGCTATGCACCAACGCCAGCGCTTAGTCCACCTTCAAAGAAATTTTGAAACTCTTTTTCTGGAATGACCATCAGAGCTGTTGTCGTATTACGCTTAATGTCCTGAATATCACCAAAATGTCTTCCTTTCAATATTTTCTTTATCTTTGGGTAAAGAAAGAAGTAATTAGGGGCCAGATCAGGTGTGTAGGGAGGGTGTTCCAATACAGTTATTTGTTTACTGGCTAAAAACTCCCTCACAGACAGTGCTGTGTGAGCTAGTGCATCATCATGATGCAAGAGCCATGAATTATTGGTGAAAAGTTCAGGTTGTCTAACTTTTTCACGCAGCCTTTTCAGCATTATAGTATATTGATTTGCCTTGAGCTCCCCTTTGCAAATTGATCCCTGCACCATGCCCTTGTACTATGCATTCCTTCCTTCTCAGACCTTGTTTTTCTTTCTCAGCAAGAGCCCTGGTCTCAGTCCCAATTCTGGCATCATCTAAATTGAGTGGGACTTCCCTTTTTATTTCAAGAAGAAATGGAGAACAGAGCTTCCTATGGCAATGCTTTTGCATGCATTGTTTCAAGGTCACCTATCAGAGCATGTTTGTCAAATTTTCTTTTGAGTTTGTTTGAGATGTTTGAGATTCTTATAAACCTAAAAATGTTTTTATATCTTTAGGAGTTATAGAGGGTAATTACCATTTATAAATTACCATCCAACCAATTAGCATGGAGCATCTGAGATTAATGGTTGTATTCTGTGAGAGATGCTGTTAGCCTTTAGAAACCCAGATATTTAACGGGTATTTCTTCCAAAGAATCTTCATGGCACTCTGTGATTGATAAGTGCACAGCAGGATTCTATCTCTGTGAAACATTTTAGCTTCCACTTTAACAAGTTTTCTCTAAATGGATTTGATATTTTGAATTCTGTCTCCTTGGTGCATCAGAATCACTCACTGCCCACCCTGCCTTGTTTGTCCAGAATTTCTTTTACTAGCAAATGCTAATTGAGAGGATCTCTAGTTTCTAGGCTGTGCAGAGCGGAAAGAAATCTAAGACTTAATTTTAAAAAATATGGAGAATTATCAGGATTTAAGGGAAGAAGGAATATGTGTCTTGTACAGCCAGTCTCCTTTTATGTTGCTCAGTGGGGAAGCTGCCTCTTTATCTGGGCACTACCAGGCACACTCCTAAGTGTGGCTCTGCTACCTTGATTTGTCTGTTGGAGGCTGTCTGGGTCCCGTGTGGCTCTAAAAAGTCATGGACATAAGAAGGGCAAGGTGAATGGGTGGAAGGCATGTCCTGATCATCAACGGTCACTTATTAGCACTGACTCATCTTTACGCCAGCAGTCAGACCTCAGAGGCCTCACACGTTCTCTACACAGGTGACACTACCATTTTTAGTATATGAGGGGCAATGGCCCATGGATCTGGGGGCCCTGTTCCCCTCATTTGTATCTTCCTGCATCAGATCTCACTTTTCCTTTCCTTTATACCCTCTTCTCGTGCTCTCAGTTCTGTTCCCTGACTCCATACTCTGTGGAGGAAACCAGGAGTGGATAGGATCATTGATTAGACAAGATGAAGCCCTACCTCCACCCCTACAGGCTGAGTGGAAATCAGACTGGGGCTAACACCTCTGCACTATTGCCTTGAAAGATCCGGCCTCTTTCTGAACCTTGATTGCATCAAGCAAGCTGCCTCTTCAGAAACAATGCACTTGCTGTTCCTCAGAGTAGAACACACTTTCCCCACATAGCTGCATGACTGGTTCCCTCCCTCCTTCAGGTCTCTGCTCAGATATTACCTTCTCAGAGAGGATTTCTGTATCAGTCAGGATGGATTAGGTTATGCTACATAAACAGCAAGCTCCAAATCTTAGGGGGCATGAAACAACAAAGGTTTATTTCTCACTACTTCCAGCTCTGTGTTATCTTACAAGTAGACTTGTATCATCCTTGTCCTTACCCTGGAACCCAGGCCAGTGGGGCAGCCAGTATCTCAGCATTGCTTAGCAACTGCGGCAGAGGGAAGAGAGCATGGTGAAGTGGGCAGTGACTGGGAAAGCTCTGTTCACATATCATTGGCCAAGGTTAAGTCATAGGGCCAAGCCTGATTTCAAAAGAATAAGGATGAAAAATTCCCCTTTAGGGAGGAGCAGAGAGTATTGGTGAACAATAATTCAGTCTACTATACCTGCCCTGAGCACACTATTTTATTTTATTTTTTTATTTTTTTAAAGATTTTTATTGGGGAATTGGGTGATGGGAACAGCGCTGGGGAATTGGGGGAAGGGGAACAGACAAGTTGCTGTCCTTTTTGTTCTTCAGTTTAGTTGTGGAGGACGTTGCTTCACTGGCCCAAGTTGGCACCATCATTGTGCTCTTCCTGGGCAAGGCAGATCAGTCGCCGGTTTCTGGACGGCCGCTCACGGTGGCTTGAGGGCCGCTCACGCTGGCTGCTGGCTACACACGGTAGCACATGACAACCCATTGCCACAGGGGCTGCAGCCTACGCCGTTGCCGGCGACTCACGGCAGCCCAGCTCCAGTTTGAGCTGTCGTTCAGCATCTTAGCTGTAGAGGGCAGTGTCACTGGCCCTCATATGTGGGATCTGAACCAGGGCCCTCTGGCATCCCAAGCCAGCTTTTAACCAATGCACCACTCGGCCGGCCCCTGAGCACACTATTTTAAATTGCATTTCCCTCACTTCCCTAGGCTCTGGCTGTCCCTATCTCCCTTGTTTGCCTTATGTTTCTATGTAAACCTAACAGCATCTAATAATATATATAACTTGTTTGTTGACTATTCTATCTCAAGGATGTTTTGTCTCTCTTGTTATCTGTTGTGGCCTCAGGGCCTAACACAATGCCAAGCACTTGGTAGATACATTTTTCAAATTTTGATGTTTTATTTAATGAGTTTCATTTTCAAAGGCATAATAAATCTTTAATACACAAAGACCTGCTTATTGTATGTTTAATAAATCCAGAGCCCCATGCACTCAATACATTTGTGGAATGAACAAACAAGTGAATGAAATCAAGGTTAATGAGCTTTTGAATGAGATGTGTAAGCAACAGAAGTATGAGTTAGCCAAATACCTATCTACTTCTGACACCCACACTACTCAGGGATATTTCCTGAAGACTGACAAAGTTTAAGGGCACTTAAAAAAACTTTAGAATAGTGATAAAAGGGCAAGGAATTGAACACAGTATATTGAAAGGTGATTTGAGCAACGTATCCTTGTAGATTTGTACTATCTAACACAGGAGCCACTGGCCACATGCAGGCAGGCATTGAGCACTTGAAATGGGGTTGTCTGAAGGAAAATGTCAGCATAAAATCACACCAGGATGAAAAAATAATACATATCTCACTAATAATTTTAATATATGTGCTCCTATGTTCATTGCAGCTTTATTTACGGTGGCCAAGACATGGAAACAAGCAAAATGTCCTTCGATAGATGACTGGATAAAGAAGATGTGGTATATATACACTGTGGAATACTATTCTGCCATAAGAAAAGATGAAATAGTGCCATTTGCGACAACATGAATGGCCCTTGAGATTATAATGCTAAATGAAATAAGTCAGACAGAAAAAGTCGAGAACCATATGATTTCATTGATATGTGGGATATAAAATTGAAAACAACAAAGGAACAAGACAAACAAATGAAGAAACAAAAATTCATAGACACAAGCAACAGTTTGGTGGTTACCAGAGGGTGAGGGAGAGGGTGATGGTCGCTGAGGGTAAACGGGATAAAAAAATGGTGATGATGGAAGGAGAACTGACTTTGGGTGGTGAACACACAATGTGATATATAGATGATGTGTTACAGAGTTGTACACTTGAAACCTATGTAACTTAACTAACCATTGTCACTTCAAGAAACTTTAATTAAAAAAAAGAAATAATATGTCGGATACATAAGGTTAAATAAAATATTTTATTAAAATGAATTATTTCTTTTATGTTTTTAAATGTAGCTACTAGATCATTTAAAATGACCCAGAGGCTTGCATTATATTTTTATTGGAAAGCAGCTGGTCTAGATAGTCTTTATAGTTGTGATTTAAGAAAGCTTTGGCTACACCATTGTCTTCCTGAAGGTTCATGTTGAAGCTTCTGGAGACCAGCGAACATTGTGAAAGCAGCCAGGATGAAGGTTTGCTGTACTGTGGTGTCCTACACAGGTAAGAGACGCATAAGATGTCCATACCCAGTTGGTCAGTGCTATGCTGTCCTGCCTCTGTCAGCTACCTTCGGGACCACTCCTACAAGGAAGTAAAGACGAGCTTCCTAAAGTGGCCCAGTCGTCTCTACCTTCAGACTAAGTAATTATGAACCATCTACTATCCAAGCCACAGGGCTCGGCCCAGTGCTAGATGGCCGTGGTCCAGCAGGCAAAAGCGGAGTAAAGCTGGGATGGCAGGTAATACAGAGACTGGGAAGATGAGTCATCTCCAGACAGTTGAAGTGGAGGGGAAAAGCGATACCAGTAGGGGAAGGCCTGGAGGCAGGAATGCCTGTGAGGGTAAGTGGGGAAGTCCAAGGGCAGAGAGTTCTTATAAGAGAGGAGAGGCCTTATGTTGTGGAGGACGTGAGTGCCTTGCGGAGAAGCCAGGCAAGCCCTTTTGAAAACCTCCAGCTTTGGACAGTCCCCACTGTAAATGTGCACTGTTACTAACATGACCAATATTCGCCAGGGTGACTGGGAGGCTTGTCCAGGACAGCCCTGGTTTATGCTTGTTGTCTCAATGAATTACTAATAGCACTCTCTTCTACTCTCGAAACGGCCCTGGATCACAGGACGTGTTACGAGTATACATGTATCATGAAACATTACATATATAACCTGATGCTGGAAAAGTGGGGCAAATATACCTGGATCAACAATGAGAAGCTCCCACCCCATATCCCTGTGTCCTGAGGGGCTGAGTTTCGATGCCAAAAATAATCCCAATCTGTGATTGAAAGAATAAGGTGTCTACAATCTTTTGTTTGTTTTGTGTTTTTCCTGAACCTTCCATACATTTGTTCTGCTGTACTCCTCCTTTCCTTTTCCATCTTTTACATACAAAAATATTTCTTGGGCTGGCCAAGTGGCTCAGTTGGTTAAGAGCGCAAGCATGAGCAACAGAGTCGCTGGTTCGATTCCCACATGGGCCAGTGAGCTGCCCGAGCTGAGCTGCCGCTGGGCTGCCAACAGGTGGCAGGATGGCTCAATGGTTAGAGCTTGCGCTCTTAAGAACAAGGTTGCTGGTTCAACATGCCACCTCGAGCTGAGCTTCCTTGAGCTGTCAACGGGCAGCCAGATGGCGACTGGACTTGGAGCTGAGCTAGCTGCGCCCTCCACAACTAAGATTGAAGGACAACAACTTGGCTGTTCCCCTTCCCCAACTCCCCAACACTGTTCCTCTCCCCCAAATCTCCAATAAAATCTTAAAAAAAAAGAAAAAAAGTATTTCTCCTACCCCTTGCTGTCCAAGAACCTTTGGGTTTCTGTTCTACAAGTAAAGGGCCTTGATTCACTCTATACCATCAGCAACTCGCTTTGATTCCTCTTTCTCATTTTATTTGCTGCCCCACCCTCACCCCCACATAATAACACCAGCATTGGTGTTCTAAGGTATCTACCATAAAATTAATGAACAAAAAAAATCCATAAGCTTAAGCTTCCTGCTGCCTTATAGCAACCCTGCTGGTTTATACATTTTAGAATTTGCAACTGTTCCTTTAAAAGACAAAATCCACATACTTACAAAGGGGGCAGGGGGCAGGGTGTGGATATCAAGATATTAATACTTCAAAAGGATGGATGGTCTGGGTCAGGTGCTTTTTTTTTTAAGCTATTTTTGGGGAACTGGGGGAGGGCAACAGCGTTGGGGAATCGGGGAAGGGGAACAGACAAGTTGCTGTCCTTTTGTTCTTCAGTCTAGTTGTGGAGGACGTCGCTTCACTGGCCCGCATGTGGGATCTGAACCGGGGCC